AATGTGTATTAGGATGTTTAAAGACAACAAATTCAGTGGAATGTCATTGAACATTAAAGTCTGGACCACTCTGTTATGAGCAGTTTTCCCTCCAGCCTGGTCCCAGTACCGCCTCAGCCCCAAATAACACACAGAGACACTGGTTTAGATATAAAGCTGTTGGCCTGTTACTAGCATTTCTTATTGGCTAGCTCTGCCTTAAATATTAACCCATTTCTATCAATCTAAGTATTTCCACGTGGTCTTGGCTTACCATAGAAAGGGTCCTGACCTCTGTTCTCTTGGTCCTACATTTTGAATCTCCTCTTACTTTTCCCTGAATCATCCTTGTCTCCTAATCCCACCTATCTTGCTTTCCTATTGGCCAACAATGCTTTATTCATTAACCAATATGTGAAACATATTTACAGAATGGCATCTCCCATCACCACTCTCAGAACCAGACGTTCAGAGAATTCAGAAAGCTACATCAGCAATGTGAACCACAGATGTTTTTATTTTTTCTGAATGAAGTTATACTATGCAACCCAGGCTGGCCTTGAACTTATCATCTTCCTGCCTCAGCCTCTCCAGCCCAGAAAGAACAGTCATGGATAGTCATGTAGGCATTTACAGTCTAACTGTAGAAACTAATTGCCTTGCTTTGGTGTGATACCAATTATTAATGGCTGGCAGTTATTTATAAGCAGATTAACTTTGATTTTCTTTAGTTTTTTTCTTCCCAAATCTACCAGTTAAATGGAATGCCTTTAAGTTTCAGCTTACTTGTATAAGGAGTCTGAGTTCAGAAACAATTATGGACTAATGGTCACTTATTTCTCTTTACGAAATAATAAACTAATTTTTTATTTTAAGACAATTAAAATGAAAATTGAATCATGTTTAAATGCAATAGAATTATTCTTTTACTATTATAGGATAAAATAAAGGTAGGGAGACATAATAAGCCTGAACTACTTAATAAGTGAATGAAAAGTGAACTGACTAAATAGAAGGAAAGCAAATTAAATTTGTTTCTGATCGGAAAGAATAGCAATGTATTAATAATTGCCTAAACCATGTGCACATCCTGTGATTTCAGGGCAACACATCTATAGAAAAAAGGTCTAATTAGTACAAGTTAGTTTGGCCGATGTTCTCATTACCTTCCTGTTTTGTTCCCAATTAAAAAGTCTGTGTGTGTGTATGTTCAGACCAAAGGTCGATGTCAAATGCCTTCCTTAATCACTTTTCCTCCTTCTAAGATGCAAGTTCTCACTGGCCTAGAGCTTACCAATTAGGGTAGACTGGCTAGCCCAGCAGCTCCAGGGACCCTTCTGCCTCTTTCTCCTCCCTCAGTTCTAGGACTTCAGATTCATGCAGCATGCTTGGCTTCTTACATGGATGCTGGGGATCTGAACTCAGTTTCCTCAGGCTTGTGCAGCATCACTAACTGGATCATCTCCCCAGCCTGACCAATTGAGAACTGCTAATTCTTGAAGAAGTCTGTCATGAGCTACCTCCTAAGAACATCATAAATTCTGCAGTAGGGGAGCTGCCTTAAAGAGTGGGAGTTTCAGGACCCTTCCCTTCTCCTGAAGACCTCAATGTCTCTGTCATCACCCTATGCCAACCTCATTCTGAAGCTCTAGTTACTGGGCATCTTGTCTTTGATTGTTATTTTCTAAGTATTGTGACTCATAATCATATTTAAAAGGCTTGTCTAGAAATTTTATGAAGGCCTAAGGAACAGGATCTATAGTTCATGCATTCAACCTCCTTTTGGAGTCTTTTGAATGAAGAATTTGTTTGTATTGGAAGTCTTTTATTTAGTTTTTTTTAATGGCATGACTTTAGAACAATCTTCATAGTGTATGGTGTGCATAAGTGGATAAAAATTGAACCTCAGAATAGTGTCATGTTTCAGATTTAATGGGCTGCCATTTGATATTCTGAAATTCGTTGTAAATTTATCATTGAATTCTTGTTTCCTAATGAAGCCTACTAGGGAAAAAGAAGAAAGCTGGGGCTTAGAGTTGCCTTGGGTAGGTTCTTCTTGGGACATACCCTGGGTCAACTACTCCACACATTCATTGTTGAGCATCAGACCTCCCTCTTACCGCTCTGAACTCGTAGCCCCTCCCACCAGAGATTAAGGTCTTTTTTGATAGTGAAATGGTGCCATGTGTCCATGACTCTAATGTTAATTCCTTTTGCCCATAGATGGTAGAAACAGTTATCCAGACTATAAATACATTACCCCATGTTATCATTTAAAATAGCAATGAAAGATAAAATGTAGCTAAGGGTAAGTGGATATGTGCAGTTGCACACAGAGGCCAAAGCAAGTTATACATTGAGACCAGCCTGGGCCACACATGGAAAACCTTTCTGTGTCTGTGTCTGTCTGTGTTTGTGTCTGTCCGTGTGTGTGTGTGTGTGTGTGTGTGTGTGTGTGTGTGTGTCCCTCTCTCTCTCCTTCTCTCTCCCTCTCCCTCTCTCTCTCTCTCTCTCTCACACACACACACACACACACACACATACACAGAAGATGGTGAAAATTCAACTGAATCAGCATAAATCCTGGGAAAAACTTGCAATTTGCACTAGAAATATGAGTTTCCAGAGCCTCATACACTATCATTGTCTATTATTCTATCATTTCTGTGAACATAAAACGTAGAAAATGTTTTCTTTGCCAGTACTCCTCCAAACATAGACAGAATTTTGATTGATTCAGATTAAGTGGTGATAGGCTTCAATTCTTAATTTTTAATCTCTTGTGCTAATTATGACTTCTCTTGCAGCTAATGGAAAGATTCATCTTGACGAAGTGCTAGAAACAGTAGAAGATATTACAGGTTAGTTTCTACAAATCTAAAGTCAATTTTATACCAAATTATATGTTTATATGTACTATTATTTTGTATTGGCTCTAGTATGTTCCTTTTCTTTCATGTTGACGAACTACCTGCAATTGTAGTTTAGAACATTTGCATTTTAGCACTACTTCAGTACAAATATCTGAAAGAAAAATATTTTGCGTCTGGTCTATTTATCATAATAGTCACTATTACTGACTTCAAAATCTAAATTAGCACAGAAAATCATAAGTAAATTGTCACAAAGATAATCCTCTTACTGGGAAACTACAAGAGAAATAGGATTCTGATAAAATTAATTGGTTTATTTTTTTAACCTACAATATACTAATCTACCTCTTGTAAACTGTCTTTATGTCTATTGTTACACTGAAAAATTACATTTCTGTCCCAACTAATGAGAATTGTGAGCACTTGGAATATTTATGTACACTCACACGGCTACTGTAGCTGAAGAGCCCCCCACAAGGGTTTGGAAGTAGGGGAGTTTTCTCTACACTGACATGTGCCTGCTTCTATGATGTTGAAGGAGGAGACATTGACATCAGTGATATGGGATATGTCCTGGAGGAAATGGGAATAATTCTCACAGACAAGGAACAGAAGGCACTGCTGGAGCATCTCCCCATCAGTGGTAAGTGTTTAAAATATTAATGTAGTCTTCATTGTCTTGTCCACTGTTATTGCTCCTGAGAATGTCCATAAAGATTGTCTAAGATACATCAACAATACCATCAAATTTTATTCAGTTGAATTCTCGTGCCGATATAATTATAGGTAGATGATAGATAGATGGCAGTGTCTTGTTAAAATGAAATAGCTGAGGTCTATAACTGCACTAGAAGACTGACAATGAAGGAGAGAAAATAACTTATAAAAGTTAAAAGGGGGCTGGAGCCATGGCTCAGTGGTTGGGAGCAGTGACTTCTTTTGTAGAAGCTCTGGGCTTAGGTTACTGGCACTCACGTGGCATCTCACACCCATGCATTAGGTGATCCAATGCTCTCTTCAGACCACTCTGGATATCAATTACATATACATATGTTCAGACAAAGCCTACACACAAAAAAAATTAAAATAAGTAAATTTTGGTACTGGAGAGATGGTTTAGCAGTTAAGAGCACTGGCTACTCTTTCAGAGGACCTAAGTTTGATACCCAGCATCCATATGGCCACTCATAACCATCTGTACCTTCAGTTTCAGGGACCTGACACCCTCTTCTGGCCTCTGTTGTGCACCAGGCATGCATGCTGGCAAAATACCCATACATATAAAATAACTTTAAATTTTTCTTCAAAGACTCAATTTTAAAAAGCATTGCTGTATATGACATGCAAATTTATACAGTATGTAAACTTGTAAAGGATAAAATTATCAATAATTTTAAAGAAATGAATAATCCAATTTCATCTTAAAATAATATCCATGGACTGAAGAGTTATGTAAAATGCTTGCCAAGTGTGGTGGTTTGAAAGCATATGGCCCTGATAGGCTCATACTTGAATATTTGGTCCCCATTTGGTAGAACATTTTGGGAAGGACTGGAGGCGTGGCTGTGTTGGAGGAGGTGTATCACTGCGGGTGGGCTTTGAGGTTTCAAAGCCCCATACTATTTCCATTTAACTCTCTCTGCCTCATAGTTGTGTCTCGAGGTGTGAGCTCTTAGTTACTGCTCCAGTACCATGCCTGCCCCTTCCCATGATGGTCATGGACTTCTAACCCTCTGGAACTGTGAGCCAGCCCCACATTAAATGATTGATAAGTTACCTTCGTCATAGTGTTTTATCACAGCAGTAGAAAAGTAACTAAGACAGTGTGTTAGCATGAGAACCTAAGTTCAGATCTCTAGCACTCACATAGAGAGCCAGGCATGGAAGTCTCACTGGGAGAGTAGGAACAGGCAAGCTTCCACTTCAGAGATCTTGTCTCAAACCGAGAAAGTGGAGTGCTGGCAAGACGGTTCAGGGGGCAGAGGTGCTTGCTACCTAGCATAATGAACTGTTCAGTACCCCCATGGTGGAAGGGGAGGACCAACACCCCATGCGTCACTAGTTTCTTTTGCCTTAAACTGTGATTTTGCTGCCTTCTTCACTCTCCACATGATGCATTTGTGTGTGACCTAACTTGTGTTTCTTGCAGCTAACCGTAAAGTCCACAAGAACAGGATAATGGATGGACTGAGGTCTCTTAATTGTAAGTAAAGAGCAGAATAAAAACAGGGAACCCATCAACTAACCTACACTGTAATGCCATCTTTATCTTCCTTTGTAAATAAATCTGTTACCAAAGAACCTTTACACTGGAGGCTTTTGAAAATTCTTTTTAATTATATTCCTATTTGTTGAAAAAGAAAGTGGTATAAGAATATGAACCAAAGGGGAAATTATTTAGACAATTTGGGTAGGAATTGAGATAATGAACCTTATAATCTTAGAAACACTACTTATTAGTGAAAAGATTTTTGTTAGTACAAATCAAATGATGACAGCCTATTTGAAAATTAATAGTGAGGTTAGTTTTCTAGCTCAGTGGTAGAGTTCTTGTCTACCATGAGAAAGGTCCTGGGTTCAATCCCTACTTCTAGAAGGAGAAAGGGAAAGGAAGCCATTGACTTGCGTTCACCTTGACAGTATTTAATTGATGAGACTTGCTCCATGGGAGTTCTGTAAACTTAGCACCACAGTTTAAACTGAGGATATATTCCACTTTTTTAAGCCCATTATTGACCTTTCTGTAGCCTAAATGGTCTTACTAACTTGGAAACCTTAATTGAAATGAGTAACTTTGGAATTAAAATCCATCAGATTTGACTAATCCCTCTTGATTTTCCTAGGTGGGTTTGTTAATGTCGATAAAATCGAAAAAGTTGTGAAAAATATGGGTTGGAAACTCACCAAGGAAGAAATTAAGGATCTGAAGCAAAATTTGCCTCCCGATGGTGAGCATTTAAGATATTTTCAAGTGAGTCAGGGAATCTGGAATTTGTGTGCATGCATCAGTCAGTCAATCCCAAAATGTTCATCAGGCACAGCTGGGCTTTTTTAAATATAAAAGAAAGTGATGACCTCCTATTGTTGTCGTTCATGATACAGTTCTTGTCACTTGAGTGGTAAACTGAATTTATTCAGGTATTCTCCTAGGATAAGAAGAGCTGGAAGGGAGTGACAGTACAATTAAAACATTAAAGATGAGTGATTAAACTCCCCATCCCATGAAATAATCATTTCCACAATTGTTAATCCTACTTAATCTAGACATTTGGCAGTGTTGTAGAAAACAAAGCAAGCAAGGAACAGGAGAGAATGGGGGTTGAGCGCACATTCCTTCGCCATGAAGCCGGGGCAAACCTAGACAAGAACAATGAAACATTTATGTCAGCATTGTTGGCACATTACTCTACACATTACTCTGAGCTACCCCTTCTGGATTTTGTCTTCTTGGGCTCTAGCTGCCTCTGCCTGGGATGGTGATTACAGCTATGTGCATCGAATCCCAGAGTAATTCCACTACAAATGAGTAAAACGGGTCAATATGAACCTGGGGAAAGCTCTTAGTTAAAAGTACTCATTTTGATCCCATGCCATGTCATTTTATCATTGCGGCTGATGGCTGTGCCCTGCAGTAGGATGTATCTTTTCCTCAGATGTATTTCTGTAAATGTACTCGTTTACTTCTGACAGTATCACTTGTGTTTTATGGATGTGCTTGCTACCTGTGAAATTGTCAGAAGTGTTTAAATTGCTAAAATTCAAACTTGAAAAATAATTACAATTCTTTATTCATCTAAACGTATCTCTTTTCACTTTGTTCAAATCACCCAAATTTCTTAAGATACAAAAAGTGAGGCAATAAAAGACATGTTAAGAATGGAGCAGCATAAAAAGTCACTAAAATGCATTTAGCTGACAATGTCATGTCTTGCCAACTGATTTTGGCCATGCACAGTGAAGTACTGGCCAACTATTCTGCCAATGATTGGCAAGAATTATGCTGAAGAAACCAGGTGTGATTTGAATGTAGCTGATACTGAACACATAGTTTTAAACATGATGCTTGGAAATGTAAAAGTATGCTTTATGCAATACACATTACAGAGCATTTGTAACTGGAAAGCCATGATTCCTTAATGTAATTTAAGCACTACAAATGAACAATGGTCCTTGCATTCATATGGGCTCCTTTCTCCATCTCATACCTCTGCCAGTCAACCGCTATGCTAAATTTTATGCTTAGAGTCTCCTTGTTTTAAAAGCACTTGTTTCAGATAAATGTATGAGTGAGTATTCCTAAGCAGTATTTCAAAATAAATATGTATTTACCTTTTGTGAGTTTTATGAAAATTTTATCTTACAGTGTTTCATAGATTTTCTGGAACTTACTTCCTCAATATTGAATCCCCACATGTCCAAAAAAGCCAAAAAAAAATAAATTCTTTCTTGTTGCTAGGAATTATTTTAACTCATGAATATACCACAATGTATTTATAATTTCCCTACTTAGTGGATATTATCATTGCTTCTAGTGCTCACCATTACAATGATTCCTTCCCAAAGTGTACCTCATGAGGCACATGTCCAAGAATTTCTATGGACATATGGCTAGAAGTGTATACTCTAGAATACCTGGGTCATGTAGTATAGGCACATATTTACTTTTACAAGGTAAGAACAAGTCGAAATTAATGTCTTCATCAGAAATCTGGAATTATTACTACTTGGTTGTTAACATTTACAGTAACCTTGTATAAATATGCATCCATGTCTTGCTGAGTCTCACTAATTTAGTGATGGTACCTACCTGGGATAATTATCACTGCTGATGTGCTGGTCATGAAATGTTTTCAAATGTTTGTTGGAAATACCAGGTTTCTCTTACATGACTTACACTATGGCCATGGAATGAACTGCTGACATTTTATTTAATGCTAGCAATATTTCTCTTTTGTTTTCTCCCTCCCTCTCTCTCTGCCTCTTCCCCTCAAGGCCACTCTCTAATATTACTCTGACATTAGTTTTGATATCCTAAATACTTTTTGCTCAGAGATATCACATTTTTTTTCCTTTTGGTTTTGAGACAGAGTTTGTCTGTGTTGCCTTGGAGCCTGTCCTGGAACTTGCTCTATAGACCAGGCTGGCCTCGAACTCACAGAGATCTGCCTGCCTCTGCCTCCCAAGTGTTGGGATTAAAGATGTGCACCACCAACACCTGGCTTCTAAATCCTGTTTTAGTGATCTGATATAAATAAAGGTTATTTAGTGTAAATGCCCCTGAATCTTGCCCCTTGAATGTGGAAGGTTTGAGTAGAAGAACTGAATGACAGTCACATTGCTGAAATGGTTACATTTTTAGCTTTTTGTTTCTTTAATCTGACTCATTCTTGTGGAAAGGGTAGGGCTGCAGAAATTCTCAAATGTGTTGCTAGAATCTTTTCCTCTTGCACTTTTTCAGTTAAATGATAAATTACTTTCTTTGAATTCTTCTTATAGTACATGGAAGAATTGCATTGAAAAAATTGTTGAAGGGATTAAATGCATTTACAGGTGAGTGAGATCTTTTATTTTAACAAATGCCTCAGACTTTATGCAATAGTATGGTTTCAGATTTTTCTGCTATTGTATTCCTGAATTTTTTGTTTTAATTTTTAACATTTTATTGATAAATTGTGTGTTATTGTCCTACAGTTTGCTCTTATAATATGTAGAACATTAATTCCCAAGCTTTCTAGGGTATTTATTTTGGCAGTATCGTTTATTGGAGCGTTAATAATAAACACCCAAACCAGATCTATCAAGTAACAACCTTATTATCTACGTCAAGAGAAAATAACATAATTTAGCCCAAAAAAGAAAAAAAAAAACAAAGTTTCTGGTTATGATGTATAAATGAACTGATTCTGATATCTTAATTAGGAGTCATTCAGATAAAACATATTCCTTTCTCCTTTGACTCATCCTCAGATTATAAAATATGTCACAACATTTCTATATAAGCCCGTAATTATGGCACATGATTCCCTCTTGATTCTGTATACATATATTTTACTGTTTTTAATTTTCCCTCACATTAAAAAATACACTTTCACATTACATTGTTTCTTGAAATAATTATTCTATAATGTTTAAGACGATAATATTTCATATTTTCAAAGGACCAAAGCTTGACATAAGATTTCTTTCTACTATGATGAACAACATGGGCCTTGAGCTGACAGATAAGGAGCGAATGAAACTGATAAGTGAGCTGCCTGTTGATGGTGAGTCGGGGTGGGTGGGAACTCAGTTGTGTGGGACTCTGGGGGAAGCTCCCTTCTTAATGCATAGTAGTTTGTGTCACGCAGAAAAACCCTCTAACTCCTATCCCAGGACATTGGGCATAAGCAGCCATTGCACTGCCATCCCCTCCAGCCAGGTGCAACACTAACCTAAGGAAAACATAAAGGAACGCTGCTGACATACGCAATTTTTAGAATTGTGTCGAAGAAATACAATGAAAAAAAAAAGTGAGCGTCAGCATAGTTGAGGCTATTAAGTCTCCCCAGCTATTCTGCAGAGAATTTATGAGCTACAGGCAGTTGGAGACTGCTGAGGATGGGAGGGATCAGTTTTGTCCAAGGTCAAGCCTGCTGATAGGTTGCCCATGTTGAAGTGGTCAATCATATGCCCACACAACATCGATGGGATTCAATAAGATATGGACAGTGGTGTCTGGAATAATAATAATTGTAGAGGAAGAGGACATCGATTTAAGAAAAGGACACAGGAAGGAGTTCAAGGCAGGTGTCTATGATAAAAAAAAAAATACATTCTCCTCATGTATGGAAGTCTAAATAAAATTATCTCAGGTGTTTAAATTGAATAGTCTGTTGGACTGATAGTTCTCATTTCTAAATTCTTCAGGTTTTATTGGGGCATAAAAACATTTGTTCAATAAGTAATTAAAATTCTTCCTGAAAGTGAGAAGTGGGTGTAGCTGAGTGTATTTGCACAAGTTCTAACAGCAGCACTCAGGGAGTGCAAGAATTTCAAGGCCAGCCTTTGCTACAGTGACCACACCTCAAATAAAAACCTAATAAAAATGTCTAGAATAAGGAGAAAGAAAGAAAGGTATGTTTTTATGAACATCTGTATCACATTTGACACGTTTTACATTACAGAATCTGGGAAGGTCTATAAAAACAGATTGTTGAATGGAATAAAGGTTTTCAAAGGTGAGTAACAAGCAATTTGAGAATTGATGGCAAAGTTGTGGTCTTAGAGTTATCATACCATTCTTTGTGAATTTACCTTCTTTATTATAAATGGTTTTACCTTTATAATGACTTGTTTTTGTCTTTGTGAAAGGTCTCATAAGCCAATATTATTTCCAAAATAAACTGTTATATTGTCATTTGAATTCTAGATAGATAATGCAAAATATGACAACAAGGGCAAGCATTCTGGGTTAGCTAAAGAAGGTACAGGTGACCACAGATTAATCGCACCCACTGTCAGAAATATTGAACACTATTTTCCTCTCTCTGTGTGTGAATATGTGTGCATGTGTGTGGTGTACATGAGGTGGTAAGAAAAGAACTTATGGGAATTGGATCTCTCTTTCTGCCATGTGGATCCTAGGGGTCAAATTCAAGTCATCAAACTTGGTGGCAGGTGCTTCTATCTGATAAAGCCTGGTAGACTGAAGTTCATTGTTTCATTATTATTTCTTTAACCAGAACATATTTTTAGTGACATCTAGCTAAGAAAAACTGTAGACAAATGCATAAGATTATGGCTAAGATTTTTCCCATGAATTACTTCAGAACAGAGGAAGAATTTGGGGAAATTATTAAAGACCTAGGAGCTCAACATTTGACACCTGTTGAGAGTAGTGCTCCAGCTATAGGAAAGGTGCTCCCTGGTGTTCCTGGGCCTTTTGGAAGACGGCCAAAATATACCTTGAGGAATTTAGTGTGACAGTTCATGGGACTTCACATTTTATAATTTAAAAATGTTATCAAGTAAATTGAATGCCACCATTGAAAAATGAAACACTGACTGCCAGGAGTCTCACTGATCACTCTCCCTGGTGACTCTCTCTTCCTATGGGCCCCATGGTAACCAATACAAGTTTCTTTCTATTTTTAATAATATGTACTCAAGTACTGTCTTCAATCATGGATAAACCAAGTATATCAAAATCTCAAAGTAACTGTGGAATCAACTACTCCTTGTTTCAAAGTCCCTCTGCTGGGCATTTCATTAATTTTCTTCTGTTATAGCTTGGGCTTTCACCAGTCTAAATTTATTTAGTATAGAGTTCTAAAGGTATTCGTTCATATTTAAAAAGCAATATTAGTATCTAGAAGTGCATTGTGTTTTCTTTACTTTGTGTTTTAATATAGCACAGCTAACATATTTTTAATACTAAAAACATTTCTCATTTTAATATAGTTCCTCATTCTTTATGTCTCTTTCTCTTAGGAGGAAAAGTTAAAGCAGATAAAATCAACACTGTTCTAGAAAGCGTGGGAATCAAACTCACAAAACAGGAGCTTGATCAAGTGAAAGAAAACCTGCCAGAAAGTGGTGAGCTCTATAGTTGACAACCCTGCTTGTGTAGCACATCGCTTGCAAACTATTTCATTGACCTTCTGTTTGGTACCCTTCTGAGTTTTCTTAAGATTGTTATTTTTATTTCCAAATGCAAATTTCTGTTTGGGGTCAACTTATTAGAATTTATTAATTATTTTACAGTCTAAAGTAAAAGAGACAGATATACAGTCAGACAGATATAAACAGACATCAAATAAGGTCTCAAAGCAGGGACCAACTGATAAAGCCCTATTAAGGCAGTGGGCTGGAGATCCCAATTAAGAGAGCTTCAGGAATGGGGAACATCCCCTCCCAGGAGGTTTCCAAGTAAAAGAACAAATGAGCAGAAAGTATCATCATCAAAGCAAGGATTATAAACATCTGGCAGAAATGGACTGCCCCATTGAGGCAGCAGCTGGAGTTCCCTAAAACAAGCAGTGGTTTCCCAGGGTGGGGCTTTCAAATGAAAGAAGAGCTAGCAAGCATATGCCTGTGGGGGTTAGTTTAAAGCTGTGATATTTTATCAATTTTTGCTTTACAGATATGAAACGGTATTAAATACATACAAATTCAGATTGGTTATCTTTCCATTTAAATAATCCTATGGCCTCAGTGGATTTGGTCTGGTTTGGGACGTACATGGGTCTTAAGCACAGCACAGTGATTGACATGCACCTAGTTCATCTTTTATCATCCTATCAGAATCTTCATGCTTTTTGTAAACCTCATAAACTAAATTTTCCCTAAAAATATTTTTAATTGACATTCTAGTCCACCTGTTCTTCCCATACACACACACACACACATATGTATATATATATGTATATATATATGTATATATATATATATTTGAAACAAGCTTGTTTTCCACCTATTCTTCTTAATTAGTGTTTTAATTGTAGAACATAAACATAAGTACAAAACCACGTGAGGCTGGGCGGTGGTGGCCCTCTCCTTTAATCCCAGCACTAGGGAGGCATAGGCAAGTGGATCTCTGTGAGTTCTAGACAAGCCTGGTTTACAGAGCCAGTTCCAGGACAGGTCCCTAAGCTACACAGAGAAACCCAGTCTCGGAAAAAAAAAAAAAAAAAAAAAAAAACCAAAAAAAAAACAAAAAGGAAAGGAAAAGAAAAGAAAACCACATAAAACAAATTGTTATAAAGTTAACATCCTTCAAATCACTTCCTTGTTAAGACTCAGGGACAAAGTGCCTTTGACTAACACACCATGGCCTTCCTAAGAGACAATCATTAAAATTAAAGGATGATATTTCAGAACAAAATAAAGAGAATATGCTTGGGTCAAGTAAATTTTATTTGCATATTTTTCTCTTTGACAGTTTTTGTGTCCTAATGTCTATTCTTATAGGTGATGGGAGAGTTAATTTACAAGACTTGATGAATGAAGTAAAAACTCTCACAGGTGAGACATGGTTTTCTATAAATCCAAGACTGTTGCTCTCATCACTGAATAGTAACTATCTTGATTTCCTTTATTGTGTACATCTAATTAGTCACAGTTATAACTTTGACCTGCCTATATTTTAAGGGTTATTCTTTTAAATGTTTCTTGTTAACTGTAAGATCTCTTTCATATGTGTGTGTGTATATAATATTATATATATATGTGTGTGTATACACACACACACACACACACACACACATATATATATATATGATATATGTTTGTTGTTGTTGCTTGAGACAGGGTTTCTCTGGATAGCTTTGGAGCCTGTCCTGGAACTACCTCTATAGACCAGGCTGGCCTCAAACTCACAGAGATCCACCTGCCTCTTCCTCCCGAGTGCTAGGACTAAAGGCGAGCACCACCAACATCTTACTATAAAATTATTTTGATCAATTTTCCAAACAGTTAAAATATCAAATGAATTCTTCAATAAATGTTTTTGTTGTGTGCTATGTTTTATGTCTGTTTGAATTTACTAATTTGCTAGGACAAAGAGAAGAATCCTCT